GCTAAGTTTGATTTTGTCACATTTTTTAGCAAATATGTATAGTGATTATATTCTTCCAATTTTATTGTTTATATTTCTTGTTTGAATATTTAATTGCAGAAAATAGGCAATCTTTGTTTTTCTTGATCTTTTTGATTAGTAAAAGATGATTCTTTTTTCAATACAAAAGTATATATTGTCTTGATTGAAAAGCTAGTTTTTTTTTTTTTTTTTTTTTTTTTGCCAATTTGTGGAACCGGGGATTGAACTCAGGCCCTTGTGCTTCCCAGGCAAACAATTAATCTACTGAGCTATCTCCTCGGCCCTGTTTCAAGATTTTTAAAAAAGGGGGAAGAGTGTTGGGGAGTAAGTTGCTAAACAAAACTTGAAACAAAACCCAAAAATAAACTTAAAAGCTATACACAGAGAACACCAACTATAGTAAACAGATTACTAGTTCAATATAAAAGAGTACAACATATTCACAGCTCACAGTAGGCAAGAGCTTATGTGCTAGGCACTGAGTCTAACATTTATTCAACCCTCACCACAGTGCTGAGGTAGGTGGCTACGATACTCATCTGACAGATTTTAAGACACTGAGGCCCTGAGACATTTTAGGACTTTCCCAAGGTCATTTAGAGTAGTAGATGACAGGTGGCATATAACTCAGGCAGGCTAGCTCCACGCTCTACTTTTAAATCCCAACGTTACACAGCTTTTCAATTTTTATGTTCTAATGAAACTCATGTGCAAGTGCTCTAATCAATCTTTATTAATAGACTTATTCATCTGGAAGACAGGAAGCTTGCAATGTGCTGCCTTCAAATCTGACCTCACAGGAAAGTTTGGGTATCTGGAACTGTTACCACCTAATGGCTGTGAACAGTGTCACTGCTTGCTACTTTCGAGCATGACGCTGTTGGTGCCTGGTGAGGGTAAAAGAGCACTTAAAAGCTTTCTGACACAGTTGACACTGGAAAGGTTTCTCCTGGGAGTGACTTCTCTGGTGCTGACTGAGATGGGCACTGATGCCAAAGGCTTTGCCACACACCCCACAGACATAGGGCTTTTCCCCAGTGTGAATCCTTTCATGCTGAGTTAGATTGGTTCTCTGGGAGAAGGCTTTCCCACATTGGTTACACGGGTAGGGCCTTTCCCCAGTGTGAACTCTCCGGTGAACAGAAAGGCATGAGCTCTGGCTGAAGGCTTTGCCACATTCCTCACAAACGTAAGGCTTCTCCCCTGTGTGAACTCTTCGGTGGCGGATGAGTTCAGCATTCATGCCAAAGGCTTTCCCGCAGTCAGTGCATTCAAAACGCTTCTCTCCTGTGTGAGTTCTCTCATGCTTAGAAAGGCACGAACTCTGACGGAACATTTTCCCACACACACTACACACAAAGCGACTCTTTATGGTATGAGTTCTCTGGTGCTGAATGAGGTGATTACTTTGTGCAAAGACTTTGTCACACTCATAACACTTGAAGGGCTTCTCTCTACTGTGAATTAATTGATGTTCTGAAAGGTGAGCACTTTGACTGAAGGTCTTCCCACATGTGTTACATTTAAAGGGATGGCTGTCTTGAGGAGGCTGACATTTGGGGAGGGAGGTGCTGGGGACAGCTCTCCCACCCTCCTCACATTCTTGGGGCCTCACCCCAGCTTGCATTCTCTGGTCCAAGGTTTTTCCATACTGGTTGCACTCAAAGATCTTCACCCTGGTGTGAATCTTCTTGTGCTGAGTGAGGTATCTGTTGCAGTTGAATGCTTTTCCACATGTGTTGCATTTAAAGGATTTGTCAGCCTTCGGATGTTCTCTGTGTCTTGTGTTCTGGTCCAAAACTTTCCTGCTCTCATCAAATCTTTGCTTGTCTCTGGCATGGACACTCAAGTGGCAGTTCAGGGTTGAGCTACAAACAAAGCGTTCGCCACACTCTGGACACTCATAGGGGGCTCTGATGGTGTGGATTTTCTGGTGCTGCACCAGGTACTGGTTATTACTGAAGGTCTGCTTGCATTTGGCACAGCCAAAGAGCCTATTAGTGGCATGAGTGGCCTGGTGTCGAATCAAGTGTGAAGGTCGGCTAAAACTCCGGACACACTCCTGACACTTATGCGGTCTGCTGCCTGTGTGAACCTGCTGGTGTTCATGAAGGTGAGTTTTCCTGGAGAAGGCCTTCCCACACTCACTACATCTGTAAGGTCTCTCTCTGCTGTGACCCTTCTGGTGGATCTTCAGGGTAGAGGTGTAGCTGAAGGTTTTCCCACATTCGTCACACTTGTAAGGCTTCTCCCCAGTGTGAACAGTTAGGTGTTTGATGAGTGACAACCTCTGCCTGAAGGTCTTCTCACACTCCTGACACTCAAAGGTAGTTTTTGCAGCATGAGTTCTCTGATGTTGGATGAAATGTTTCTTCAAGGTGAAGACTGCCTGGCATGTGACACATTCATAGTGCTTCCGAGTATGGGTTTTCTTGTGTCCCCTAAGATGAAGGGCCAGGGTAAAAGTCATGTCACATTTGTTACATTTGTAGAATTTAGGACTTCTAAGGGTTTCCTGACATTTAACAGGTTGTCCATGATGACTGGATGGACAGTTGCCACTTTGACTCTTACATGGTTTTGCTCTAGTGTGAGTTTTCTGATGCTGCCAGAAATGCGTATTCTGACTAAAAGTTTTCCCACATTCCTTACATACATAGGATTGGTAGCCCATGTGGGTCACAGGAGACACAGCCCGGTGAGAAGTTGGGCTAAAACCTTTCTGGTCTTCCTCCTGTGTAGATGGCTCTTCACTTATGTGGATAATCCAGTGCTGGTAGCCTGTGTGGGTCACAGGAGACACAGTCAGGGGAGAAGTCGAGCTGAAACTGTTCTGATCTTCTTCCTGTGCAGATGGCTCTTCGCTTATGTGGGTGACCCACTGCTGGTAGCCTGTGTGGGTCACAGGAGACACAGTCAGGTGAGAAGTTGGGCTGAAACCTTTCTGGTCCTCTTCCTGCGCAGATGACTCTTCACTTATGTGGGTGACCCAGTGCTGGACAAAGTGGGAACCCTGGCTGAAGCTTTCGTCACACTCGCTGCACTTATACAGCTGCTCCTCCTCTTGGACAGCACCCTGCTGGCTCTGTTCAGGGTTGTAGGTAAAGTCATTCCTATACTCCTGTGACTCAGTTGGCGTGAGGCTCCTTTCAGGAGTATGCACCACAGAGTCTTCTGCTGTGCAAAGCAGGCAAGGACTCAGGTGGCTCTTCAGTGTGTGACTCGTGCCTTCTGTGGTATTTTTCTTACTAGTGACATCATCAGACTTGAGAATACTTTCTGGATCTCCCAGCAAACTGTCCAACCACTTCTCATCCAGACAGTCTTCAAAGTTGAAGTTCCAAAGGTCTTCCTTGCAGAACACCTCCATCATTTCCTTGGTGAGTCCTTCTTCCAAGAAATTCTGAGGTGAGTTTGTGGGCTCCGGCATGCCTGAAAGAGAAAAGCACGTATCTAATGTTCTCCAGAGGGAAAGATCAGAGCTGCAGGTAAAGACACACAGTAGGGGTGACGGTCCCGAGCCCTGGCTGTCACGGGGCTGAAGAAAAAGGAAGTCCAAGTGGCATCTCATATCATCAAGAGAGCCCGTTCGCAGGAGTGTTAGAAGGGAGAAGGGACACTGAGAGGACTTCATAGGGAGTGAGAACCTCAGCCACAGCCCTCACACTGACTGCCTACCATGAGGTGGACTAGGGTGGGGCAAACCAGCTTGCAGGCTGTGAGTGTCCTCCTGAGCACTCTCTGAGCTACAGCAGAGCAGCAAGCAGCCCCTGGCCAGCTGGTAAGCTCCTTTTCCACAGCTAAGTATTCAGCAGAGCAAGATCTGCTCTGCTCTGTCTCTTAACTACAAGTTATACATTCTCTGGACTCCTTCACCGAACATGAGCTACTGTTCTTCCCTTCCATACCTCTCACCTCCCCTTCTCCTCTCTCCATCCTGCACCAGTACCACTGCTTCCAAGTGCCTTCCTTCCTTCCCCTCCCTCTCCCTCCCTCTGTACTGGGCATTCAACCCAGGGCCTTCACACTGAGATATAACCCAGTCCTTCTAGTTTTTATTTTGACAGGGTCTCACTCAGTTACTTACCTTTTTGTGCAGACTGGGCTTGAACTTTGTGATCTTTCTGCCTCAGCCTCCCAGAGTGCCAGGATAATAGGTCCGCGCCACCATGCCTAGCTCCTCCTGCACCTCCTTACCCACCACACATGTCAGACTGCTTAGTGCCTCATCCTGCAAGCAAAGCTTGCAAACCAAAGCCTTCCAAATAACCCCTCTTGCCTTGAGCATCACCCTGCTGCTTTGGCATCTGGTTTTCTCTGTGCCACCTACGAAGCACAGCAGATCCCTCTCACAAGCTGGCAGGGTAGGGGACCTGCATCCAAGGATGCGCCATCAGAGACCCACTTCCCAGGGAAGCATGCTGTTATAGGGAATAAATGATGACAACCAGACATGATGGCCACTACTAAAAGATATATATATATATATAAAGTTGTGTGTGTGTGTGCGCGTATACACACACACACACACACACACACACACACACAATTTGGTTGCCAGGAAAACTATGGCTGCCTATGCTTGGACATAGACTACAGGCTGATACAAGAGACACAGAAATCAGGATCAGAAGTTAGGGGAGCACGTGTATGCATGAGTCTGTACCCCTCATGAAACACTGGTGCCGAACACGAGGCTGAAGAAGGCTCCTGTTGCCATGCTCAAGCGGTGAGCAAGGGCAGAGTCCCGGCTGACGGCGTGGTCACTGGTGCAGCGCTCTCCTTCTTGGGGTGCTTAACCGATGACAGAGAAGCCCCAACACCTGGGCAGGACAGCTGCCTCTGCTTTCTTCCACCAGGGGGAGCAGACCCCACTTTCTTCTGCAGGGTCTGTCACTACCTAGCTGATGACAGAACTGTGGCCTGAGAGACAGCAGAGTAGATACTGTTGGTGGCATCCGGGCCTGGCTACAGTCACTCCCAGAGTTGGCCATCTGCTGTACCAAGGCCCAGGGACCAAAGATGGGCTATATAAAGGAGATAAAACAGGGCGCAAGGCAGGAGCTGGACAGACTGACTCAGGGAGTGGAAGGAGGAGGGTGGGAGCAGCATTGGGGCAGCCAGAGCTGAAGGTCCGGGGGAGTGAGAGCTGGCAGAGCCCCCATCTCCCAGAATGGAGGCACAGAAGCCACGTGGTGATGGAATGAGGCCCAGAGGCCAGGTGCGAGGCCCTGGGCAGACACACTGGGGGCTGACCATGACCCTGCGAGGGGACTTGAGGATGGAGAGCACGCCAAGGGCTTCTTTCTTCTGCTCACCAGGATCCATAGCCTCTGTGCTTCCTCTCACCAGGGCCTCCAACTTTTCTTCACCACTGGGACGGAATGTTGTGCTGGGTCTCAGAGGGCCTGTGGAGAGAGGATGGCACCATGATGGGGAAGGTCACCTAAGATGCTTCACCCTCCATACAGCTCGTGCAGGTCAGACGCTGCACTGGGCAATCTAGGGTCACCTGCAAGACACCTCTGAGATTTGGGGTACCCAGTGCAGTGCAGAATAGCGACCTAATAGTCACCATCCAGGTGGTGAGAGCTGCGACAGCTGGGGTTGGGGGCACAAAGAACTTGTGACAGGTCTTGAGGACAAGCAGCTAGCCAAGTGGAGAGGCACACCCTCAGCCACTCATGATGTGCCTCTTTACCAAGAACCACATGGCCAAGGCCTCCATGAGCCAGGCCCTGTGAAGATGGCGGGGTCCCAGAGCCCAAGGCTACCTTAGCGCTGCCCTCCACACACCTCCTGAGGAAGAGAGCAGAGAGCCATAATCCCCACATGACACGTTGGAGAAAAAGCGACTGCTGGCTTTGAAGATGTAGAGGCCATGTCTTAAACACCACCAGCAGGCTCTAGGTGCTGGAACAGCACAGGGAAGGAGTCCCCCCCAAAATCCCTAGGAGGGGCACAGCTTTGGTTCTTGCCCAGTGAGACCCATTTCAAACCTCTATGGCACTACAGTATGATAAGCCACTGTGTTTACAATATTTGTAAAGCAGCAATAGGAAGCGAACACATTACTCTTGTATAGGATGTCACACTTCTTGGGGATGAAGCACATCTTGTACGACTCTGCAGGAAACCCTAGAAGCTCGTGCCTGGCTTTCCCAAAGTTCACCTGTGCCCCCATTTGCCTGACTTATTCGTGCTTTCACTGCAGCACTTCATGGGCAGGCGCAGTTCAGAGCACGAGCACCTCAGACCACGTCCCAGGGCTGCTCCTAGGGGAGCACCACACCTAGGGGTGCCAGACCTTGACACAGCTGGGAAGCTAACTGTCCCTCTATGAACCTCATTTTCAGAATGATCCATGAAAGGGGAATGTTGGGAGCCACAGAAGCTGGAAAATCAGTCATAGGTGTGTAGGCAGGACTATGCTTCAGGGCCTAAAGCAAACAGGCTACCTCAGTCCTGAGACAATCACCCTGTCTGGTTGAAGTCAGTTTTGGTTTGCAGGTGGATTCCTCTCAACAGCCAGACAGACCAGCTACCACCTAACCTAGCTTTTGTCTCCTTGTCTATCTTTTTCTCATTCCTGCCACTGTTTCTCACCAGGTAGAACTGATCCCACTGAGACCAATGGATCCCTCCAACCTCTGCATGGGGCGACAAGACCTGGTTCATAACAAAGCAGTGTCTGCCACCCAGTCATTTACTCCTTTACCAACCATTTGCTGAGGCCGTACAGAAGGTACTGGGGGCAAAGCAGTGGACAAACCAGGTCACAAGACCCCACTCCAGAGAAGTTTTCACTCCAGAGATCACATTACCTGGTGAAAGAGCTACGGAGGACTGCGTATGGGTGTGTGTGTGGGGGGCTGTAATGAGGTCACAGTTCGGCCCAGGGTCTCTTGGCATCCACACTCCTGGCACCTGGGAGGGGTCATCCTATTGCTGGGAGCGGACCTGTTGCTGTGCCCTGTGCGAGGTGTGGCAGCCTTCTTGGTCCTGTCCATGAGATGCTAGTAGCACCTGTTACTGGCGGGCCCATCCTAAGTGTCTCTAGATGTTGCCAGTGTCTCTTAGGAAGGAAGCCAACTAAGAGCCAGAGGCCTGGATGGTGGTGATGTGATTTCATCTGTGGGTGACAGAGCACAGGGGATCCCTAACTAAGGCCGTGCTTGGGCCGCAGTCAAGGGGATACTCACTCAGCAGGAAGAGGTTCTGGTAGTTGTCCAGTGCTGTGTCCCAGAACAGATCCTCCTGGTCCAGCCCCAGATGCTCCCAGTCCTCTGAGAAATCCATGGTCATGTGGGTAGCGAATTCCTGAAATAGTAATACACTGTCAGTCACTCGGGGGGAGCTGGGGGAGGGGGCACAGCCCAGTAGACCCACCCTAGCTCTCCATTTGCCAGGCGTTGGCAGAAATCATCCTGTTCTCAGGTTCACGAAAACCCTGATAAGTCAGAGCCACGAAAGCCCTGTATTCTGTAGCAAGGAAGGAGTGTTGGACAGGTTGCCACACATGCAGGACTTAAACCCAGGCTTGCTGGCCTTAAAAACCATTTCTTCTGATTTTGTAAGTGTTGGTTTAAGATGTTAATTTGCATTATTATAGATATTTACACACACACACACACACACACACACACACACAGATGTAAGTAATTAATTGCCATGGACCTGGCACCCAGGAGTGTCCTGACTTAACGTGCAAATACTTCAGTATGAACAGGAACTCCCTGACCTCACTGAACACCTGACTGTACTCACAGTCTGCACCTGCACTTGTCTGATGTCCCAGGGAATCTTCATAGCTAGCTTGTCAGAATTAGAATCCAAGGAGGCCCACACCAGCGAGGAGACAGAAGCCCTGTTATCCATAGAGCTTCTGGGTACACAACCCCTCAGCCCATGACTCCAGGTCCACTGCAGGCTGCACGGTTACCAAAGGCGTGCACCTGCTACCTAGCTTGCAGTGATGCTGACTTTCTTCATTTTTAAGTGTACTGGTTGACAGGTACTTAGAAAAGCAATGCAAGTACTTGAGAAGAACCAACTGAAAAGTGAAGACTGCTCACCACCCAGCCTCTAGGCGAATCACTGGCTGCTGGATTGCTCCTTGCAGGTCCCCACCCACGTGGACACGGCACACAAAGAACACTGGAGGAGTGAAGGAGTAATCCTAAATTTTTTTTATTTTTTATTTTTTTTTCAGAACCGGGGATTGAACTCAGGCCCTTAGTGCTTGCCAGGGAAGCACTTATCCTACTGAGCCATCTCCCCAGCCCAGGGAGGAGTGAAGGGCTTGTCTCCTTGATCTGGGTTAAGGGTCAGCCCCACTAGCTTGCCCTGTGGTGGCCCCTCTGAGCCCGATTCCTGCCACACTGGTGAACTGGGCTGATGTAGCCCATCTGATCACAGGTACTATGGAAATGATGGCGAGGCTGTCCTGGCCTAAGGTCTTCCATCCACTACGCCATGAGTTTCACCTGTGGACACCTCTTCATCTGTGCTTTATTTTACAACAAAAAGTTTTGGTTTTTTTTGTTTGCTTGTCTAAATAAACATGTAAGACAGGATCCTCTTCTGGCTGCTGTGTGGAAAGAGAAGGTGGAAGGGCAGGAGCTGGGGGACAAGGAAGAAGCCCAATGCAATAACCCGGGCGAGAAGAAATGGCAGGAGCTGGGGAATTCTAAGTGGAATGAAGAAACGGGGGTGATAAACTGAGTCCTGGTCACTGAGGCAGACACGGCCCACACCATCGCTGGGCTTCTGATCAGGTGACCCACACACAGTCTCTGGCAGTGTAGGCCAGCGTGTACTAGAATTTCTGTTACCCTGGGCCCACAAGATAGCTCAGCAGACCAAAGTGCCTGCTTGGGCACGCAGATCCCGAGCACCACATGCCGCACCAGCCCCGCCCCCAGGGCAGCCAGTCCAGATGTAGTGGCACACGCCTATAATCGCAGCATGGGGAGGCTGAAAGCAGGAGGATCACCGCAAGTCCGAGCTGTGTATTAAGACACTGTAACAACCAAATACATTAAAATTTTTTTTTCTGTTACCGGTAGTTGAAATTGCGATCTATACCTTATCCAGAGAGATGTTAAGAGGGGTTTCTTTTTTTTTTTTTAAAGCAGGAGCTAGATTACAGTGGGCTATAAGGAGTTACCCTTTGCTGGGACTATGAGACTGTGTTGGTCAGGGAACCTGAGAACTATGCGCTGGAGGTAGAAGGATAGGCGCAGAGACCTGAGGGAGCCACAGGAGGATTTTACACAAGGACAGTGACAAACCAGGGCAAATGTTTCTCCTACAGGCCAAACCCTACCACGGGTGATGGGGATGTGGCATGTGTCAGACCTGGTCCTTTAGGCCTTGAGAAGTTCACTGTCTGGACGTTAGGATGAAGAGGTACAGTGACAGAGAGAGGCACTGGGGCTCCATGAGCCAGGGAGGGAGAGAAGCCGCTGCTTTGGGACCAGGGCGAGTTTCCCAGAGGGGGAGGGGAAGACGTTTGAACTGGATCATTCAGGGAGAGCAAGCTAGAGAAACGCTCTCACGTATTCATTCATTCAACAAACACCTCATATAGCTTTCTGTATTCTGGGTTCCCAAGCGACCCAGAGGTGACCCAGAGATGAATCCCAATCCGTTCCTGTCACTGAGGAGCACGTGGTCTTGTGGCACTACAGTCTGGGCTGGTGGAACCACAGCTAGGTGGAACTGTGTTGAGACGGAGGCGACAGAGGGTGGTAGGGAGCACCAGAGTTGGGGATGAGTTGATTGTTATGGAGGAGGGAGGGACCAAGGTGGGCCTCCGGGATTGTGCAGGTCACCACTGCTGAAAAGGGCACAGGGCATTCTAGCAGACGGTACAGCCTAGGCCATGACAGGAAGCCTGGAAAGTATAACGTAACATTTCTCACCTGGCCAATAAGAAGGAACTGGTTGTCTAGACAAATGGCAGAAGACACTGGAGGGGAAGGCAAAAGCTGGATTATGCAAGCATGAGCCACTGTAAGCAAGAGGGGCTCTGGAAAGGTATTAAGCAGGATAATGATCGTTATCAGAATTTCATCTTTGAAAGATTGCTTGGAGTCATCAGGGTTTAAATAGGAAAGTGTCTCTCAGGGACTCACACAGTGAGGGCAGCAATGTTCAGAGGCAGGGCCTAAGAGGTGAGTGGATCAAGAGAGTACTGAGTGTGTGTGTGTGTGTGTGTGTGTGTGTGTGTGTGTGTGTGTGTGTTGGGGGTAGCCACGCTGGAGGAAGCAGGTCACTGGAGGAAAGGGATGGGATGAGGGGGATCAGGTAAGGCCACCATCACTGAGTGACTTAAACCAAGCAACAAGCAAGTCCCAAAACCTGGGTCCTGGTGTCTCTAGGACTCCACAACTACTCCAGTAGTCTTGTCATATCTCAGTGCAGGGCCATGGTCAAATAATTATCTCTCTGAGCGTCAGTTTCCACATGTGCAAACTGGTGTCAACACAAGAGAACAGATTCATAATTCCTTCACTCCAATTCCAAAAACCCCAAGGATCTGAAAAAACCCAAACTTTACAAGTTACATGTGCAGCCTTTCATCTTGGCTGAGTGAACATGGTATTCACACCTCTTCCCACAGGTATGCTTAATGACCAGGGGTTGCCCTAGATTCTTCTGGGGGGAGAGGTGTCCTAACTATGAAATGTGCACGGAGTTCTTTTTAAAATCTGAAAAATTCTAATTACCAAGATGACCCTGGTGCCAAGAGAAAAGTATAAGGCCCAGGGCCTGCACTAATGTCTCAGTGCTGGTACGAGATTAACAGAAAAGATGCAAGAAGGGCATGAGCCTGGCCCACAGAAAGTGCTCAGGCAAATTTAAATACTTCAACCTCAAGAATTCCAATTCTTACCCAGGCATGGCGGAGCACACCTGTAATCCCAGCACTTGGGAATGAGGCTGGAGGATCGCAGCAAGTTGAGACCAGCCTTCGCTACAAAGTGAGCTCAAGACCGTCTTAAACTTACATAGTGAGACTTTGCCTTTAAAAAATAAAGGGAAGGAAACCAGGCGTGATGATGCACTCCTGTAATCTCAGCACTGGGGAGCCCGAGACAGGAGGATCAGTACAAGTCTGAGCTGTGTAGTGAAACCCTGTACCAAATAAACAAACAAACAAACAAACAAACAAACAAATAAAT